TCGCTCATCATGATTGATCAAGAAAGGTGGTTTGATTTCGATGTTTTCCTTCACCTAGGCCAGTTGGCTTCACCACGCCTGACGAGACTGGCCTGCCCGGGATTTTTTAGCGCGGTTACCTTCTTCTCCACCACGCTCGGTTAAACGTCCCGGAGGACACATACACACCCCCTCCCCCCTACCCACGAAACCCCAATACCCACCCCACCCATACCCACAAGAAACTCCACACCCACACACATCCCCACAAATCCCACAAAAACCCCCACAAAAACCCCATAAACCCCTCTATAACACCCCATAATACCCCAAACCACTCCACAACATTCATTCAAAATAAACAAAAACAAACCACACTCGTAACTCGACCGAGTCGCTTGGCACACTTTTAGACCCCTTCTAAAAAAGCGAAGGGAAGCCCATCCACCACGTCAATGTGCCATTGGAGGGGCGACGGTCCGACCTAGCCTAACCCATCCGAATTTAATAGCACGTGATGGGTTTGACAGGAGAGCTGCTCACGCGCGTGGAGCGGATCACGGTAAACGCTGGGCTCTGATTCTCGATTGGTAAGTAAAGGTCTAACAAAAAATTGAAGCTTTGCCAATGCAAGACATAAGGTAAGTGTAAATCACAAAGTACGAGCGATGCAACGGCGAATTAATTAAGTTAACGGCCTGATGTAATGGAAGCCGCTTTATCGCGAGTGAAATAACTGTTGTCGCGCGGGCAATACTCGGTCGTGTTGACGCGGAGCGCGATCGATGGAGAATTGCAATAAAGATCTTACATAAAGAATTACAGAAGAGAATTACATGAAGAATATAGAGGATTAATTATAAGTTTACATAGATTTCTCTTAACTAACGAAGGTTTTCCTCCCCCCCTTTTTTTTCTTTTGCCGGATGCCACCGAGCTTTGAGAGGAGCGAGGGATTACGCCGGTGACTGCGTCCGCGGCTCCCGGTCGATGTCGGATTCGCTCTCCGGCAGGAGGACGATCTTGGTGATCGGACGCACCAGCTCCGAGGCGGTGGTGCGCACGGTGACCAGTGATGCACAAGTGAAGGGGTAACGCACACAAGCGCGAACCGCGTACATGTGCCACATGTACGCGGTTCGCGCTTGTGTGCGTTACCCCTTCACTTGTGCATCACTGGTCACCGTGCGCACCACCGCCTCGGAGCTGGTGCGTCCGATCACCAAGATCGTCCTCCTGCCGGAGAGCGAATCCGACATCGACCGGGAGCCGCGGACGCAGTCACCGGCGTAATCCCTCGCTCCTCTCAAAGCTCGGTGGCATCCGGCAAAAGAAAAAAAAGGGGGGGAGGAAAACCTTCGTTAGTTAAGAGAAATCTATGTAAACTTATAATTAATCCTCTATATTCTTCATGTAATTCTCTTCTGTAATTCTTTATGTAAGATCTTTATTGCAATTCTCCATCGATCGCGCTCCGCGTCAACACGACCGAGTATTGCCCGCGCGACAACAGTTATTTCACTCGCGATAAAGCGGCTTCCATTACATCAGGCCGTTAACTTAATTAATTCGCCGTTGCATCGCTCGTACTTTGTGATTTACACTTACCTTATGTCTTGCATTGGCAAAGCTTCAATTTTTTGTTAGACCTTTACTTACCAATCGAGAATCAGAGCCCAGCGTTTACCGTGATCCGCTCCACGCGCGTGAGCAGCTCTCCTGTCAAACCCATCACGTGCTATTAAATTCGGATGGGTTAGGCTAGGTCGGACCGTCGCCCCTCCAATGGCACATTGACGTGGTGGATGGGCTTCCCTTCGCTTTTTTAGAAGGGGTCTAAAAGTGTACCAAGCGACTCGGTCGAGTTACGAGTGTGGTTTGTTTTTGTTTATTTTGAATGAATGTTGTGGAGTGGTTTGGGGTATTATGGGGTGTTATAGAGGGGTTTATGGGGTTTTTGTGGGGGTTTTTGTGGGATTTGTGGGGATGTGTGTGGGTGTGGAGTTTCTTGTGGGTATGGGTGGGGTGGGTATTGGGGTTTCGTGGGTAGGGGGGAGGGGGTGTGTATGTGTCCTCCGGGACGTTTAACCGAGCGTGGTGGAGAAGAAGGTAACCGCGCTAAAAAATCCCGGGCAGGCCAGTCTCGTCAGGCGTGGTGAAGCCAACTGGCCTAGGTGAAGGAAAACATCGAAATCAAACCACCTTTCTTGATCAATCATGATGAGCGACAACAAAGGTAAAAGACTTACCGACTCAGTGGGCCTCGGAACCCACAGAGTCCAGCATGGGGGAGATACAGTCCCAGTGCCCCCATGTCGTCATCGAGAGATGGGCTACTCGCGGCGTTGGCGACGAGCGCCGCGGGCGAATCTGCGATCGCCGGATTGAAGGAGGTGCGGGTGACCATGGTTAGGGTCGATCGACCGGGACCGGCTTGTACAAAGCCAAAGTCCCGGGCAAGGTCGAGCTCGGCCGCCAGGTCTCACCCCTACTCAAGGGACGAGGGCAAATCCCGGGCTGCGAGCCTTTTTCGCCTGGGGAGCCCAGACGCCAGCAAGGCGTCGAGGGAGGGCAGCACATGCCGGACCCCCGCATCATCGGGGGCCTCGTATGCGAGTGCGAGCGGGAGTGAGAGCTCGCAAGAGTCCCTCGCGGAGTTGGGCCCCGACAGTCTCTCCGTTAAAAGGGGAAAGGGCAAACCCTCCATCACGGGGGAGCATGTAGCGCTCCGCGAGAGGAGAGAGCAGGAGGCTGCCCTCCGGAAAGAGCGGGAGAGGGAGGAGAAGGCTAAAAAGGCCCTGTAGGACAATGTCACCCCTCCCCTCCTTAGCAAGGATTTGCGGGTGTACGAGGCCCAGTGCGCCGAAGAGCTGGGCCTCGCACCCTTGGCGCAATTTGTTGATATCATTATTTTTGTAGGATATATTTGTACAATTTTTTTTGGTTAAAATATTTTTATAAGTTTTTATTTCCAATAATTTAAAATAACACTATTTCATAAATATATATAAATACAGTTTCTTACAAGTGGTGCGTGTACTTGGCACTTTTTTTTAACTTTTTTTAAAAAGGTAAATTTTTAGGGATATCATTCTTTTTTGTAGTATATAAGTATATGTTAACGTATGGTCCGACTCCACCGTCGCTCTGGAATGGATCCACCCATCTCGATGGGCGACGTACGTGGCCAACAGGACCGCCGAGATTCAAACAGTCCTATCACATGCTCAATGGCATCATATTGCCGGCTCGGAAAATCCGGCTGATTGCGCGTCGCGTGGGATATCACCGAGCGAACTGGTCGCTCATCCTCTCTGGTGGCAGGGACCCCCCTAGCTCCTCGCCTCATCGTGGTCGGCACCTCTCGAACCGGTCTTCGGCGACGACCTTCCAGAGAAGCGGGCCAAGATACACACGGGCGCGGCGCGGCTACTGCGGCCGGAAGAGCCCGACGAACTCACGCGCTTCTCTTCCTTGGACCGCCTGGCACGAGTTACGGCCTGGATGAGACGGTGGTTGCGCCAGCGGACCAAGGATCGGACCCCGACAGCAGCCGCTGCTCTCCTCCCTCTCGGAGACCTCCTCTCCGCATCCGAGTGCGACGAGGCTCGCCGAAGCTGGATCCGGGTGGTGCAGTCTGAAAATTACAAAGCGGAATTCAAGGCGATCCCTCGGGGCGCTCCACTGCCGAGCAAAAGTCCACTTACCAACTTAATTCCCTTTCTAGATGCTGAAGGTCTTCTAAGGGTCGGCGGGCGGATCAAGCACGCTCTTCTGGCGTTCGACGAAAGGCATCCGGTCATCCTGCCTGGGACCTCCCATTTCACTCTGCTTGTTATCGTAGCCAATCTACCGGCGGACGCTGCACGGCGGAGTGCAGCTCACCCTCGGATCGATTCGCCAGCAGTACTGGATCCCCCAAGGACGCTCCCTGGTGAAGTCCGTTATCCGGCAGTGCGTCACCTGCGTGCAATGGCGGGCGGCTACTCAATAGCAGTTGATGGGCGACTTGCCCCGACCTCGTGTCATACCCGCAAGGCCTTTCCTGCACACCGGACCTGTCCTCGTGAGAACAGCCAAAGGACGCGGTCACCGTTCGCACAAGGCGTTTCTGGCGATATTTGTTTGTCTTAGCTCGAAGGCCGTCCATCTGGAAGTAGTTTCTGAAGCCTTCCTGGCGGCGCTGCTCCTGTTCATCTCGCGTCGGGGCCTCTGCTGCAGTCTCCGAAGTGACTGTGACACGAACTTTGTCGGGGCAGACACTCAACTCCGGAAATTCTTCAGCGCCAGCAGTCCTGAGCAGCGTCGAATCGCCGAGCAGCTTGCCAGTGACCGCATCCAGTGGAGCTTCAATCCGCCGTCGGCGCCGCATTTCGACGGCCTCTGGGAGGCCGCAGTTAAATCCCTTAAGCACCATCTCCGACGGGAGCTGGACGACGCGACATTAACATACGAGGAGTTGAGCACCCTCATCGCACAAATAGAAGCGTGCTTAAATTCCAGACGTCTCCAGGCCTTATCGGACGACCCAGACGACTTGACTGCCCTGACGCCGGGGCACTTCTTGATAGGATCAGCCGTTAACGCCGTCCCCGAACCGAGCCTCCTGGAAACACCGATCAACCGCCTGACGCGGTGGCAACTCCTTCAGCGAATGCGCGACCACTTTTGGGAACGGTGGTCGCGTGAGTATCTCCAGACCCTTCTTCAGCGGTCGAAGTGGTGGAGCGCTAATGCTCAGGTGCGGGTTGGCCGCCTTTGCTTCATCCGCAGCGAGAACACTCCGCCCATACGCTGGCCGCTAGCCCGAGTTACCAAGGTGCACCCTGGAGAAGACGGCCAGACCCGCGTGGTCACCGTCAGTGATGCCAGAAACGGGTCCCGCGGCTCACGGCTCAGCAATGGAAGGGGTAACGCACACAAGCGCGAACCGCGTACATGTGCCACATGTACGCGGTTCGCGCTTGTGTGCGTTACCCCTTCCATTGCTGAGCCGTGAGCCGTTTCTGGCGTTTCTGGCATCACTGACGGTGACCACGCGGGTCTGGCCGTCTTCTCCAGGGTGCACCTTGGTAACTCGGGCTAGCGGCCGCGGAGTGTTCATTGCTGAGCCGTGAGCCGCGGGACCCGTTTCTGGCATCACTGACGGTGACCACGCGGGTCTGGCCGTCTTCTCCAGGGTGCACCTTGGTAACTCGGGCTAGCGGCCAGCGTATGGGCGGAGTGTTCTCGCTGCGGATGAAGCAAAGGCGGCCAACCCGCACCTGAGCATTAGCGCTCCACCACTTCGACCGCTGAAGAAGGGTCTGGAGATACTCACGCGACCACCGTTCCCAAAAGTGGTCGCGCATTCGCTGAAGGAGTTGCCACCGCGTCAGGCGGTTGATCGGTGTTTCCAGGAGGCTCGGTTCGGGGACGGCGTTAACGGCTGATCCTATCAAGAAGTGCCCCGGCGTCAGGGCAGTCAAGTCGTCTGGGTCGTCCGATAAGGCCTGGAGACGTCTGGAATTTAAGCACGCTTCTATTTGTGCGATGAGGGTGCTCAACTCCTCGTATGTTAATGTCGCGTCGTCCAGCTCCCGTCGGAGATGGTGCTTAAGGGATTTAACTGCGGCCTCCCAGAGGCCGTCGAAATGCGGCGCCGACGGCGGATTGAAGCTCCACTGGATGCGGTCACTGGCAAGCTGCTCGGCGATTCGACGCTGCTCAGGACTGCTGGCGCTGAAGAATTTCCGGAGTTGAGTGTCTGCCCCGACAAAGTTCGTGTCACAGTCACTTCGGAGACTGCAGCAGAGGCCCCGACGCGAGATGAACAGGAGCAGCGCCGCCAGGAAGGCTTCAGAAACTACTTCCAGATGGACGGCCTTCGAGCTAAGACAAACAAATATCGCCAGAAACGCCTTGTGCGAACGGTGACCGCGTCCTTTGGCTGTTCTCACGAGGACAGGTCCGGTGTGCAGGAAAGGCCTTGCGGGTATGACACGAGGTCGGGGCAAGTCGCCCATCAACTGCTATTGAGTAGCCGCCCGCCATTGCACGCAGGTGACGCACTGCCGGATAACGGACTTCACCAGGGAGCGTCCTTGGGGGATCCAGTACTGCTGGCGAATCGATCCGAGGGTGAGCTGCACTCCGCCGTGCAGCGTCCGCCGGTAGATTGGCTACGATAACAAGCAGAGTGAAATGGGAGGTCCCAGGCAGGATGACCGGATGCCTTTCGTCGAACGCCAGAAGAGCGTGCTTGATCCGCCCGCCGACCCTTAGAAGACCTTCAGCATCTAGAAAGGGAATTAAGTTGGTAAGTGGACTTTTGCTCGGCAGTGGAGCGCCCCGAGGGATCGCCTTGAATTCCGCTTTGTAATTTTCAGACTGCACCACCCGGATCCAGCTTCGGCGAGCCTCGTCGCACTCGGATGCGGAGAGGAGGTCTCCGAGAGGGAGGAGAGCAGCGGCTGCTGTCGGGGTCCGATCCTTGGTCCGCTGGCGCAACCACCGTCTCATCCAGGCCGTAACTCGTGCCAGGCGGTCCAAGGAAGAGAAGCGCGTGAGTTCGTCGGGCTCTTCCGGCCGCAGTAGCCGCGCCGCGCCCGTGTGTATCTTGGCCCGCTTCTCTGGAAGGTCGTCGCCGAAGACCGGTTCGAGAGGTGCCGACCACGATGAGGCGAGGAGCTAGGGGGGTCCCTGCCACCAGAGAGGATGAGCGACCAGTTCGCTCGGTGATATCCCACGCGACGCGCAATCAGCCGGATTTTCCGAGCCGGCAATATGATGCCATTGAGCATGTGATAGGACTGTTTGAATCTCGGCGGTCCTGTTGGCCACGTACGTCGCCCATCGAGATGGGTGGATCCATTCCAGAGCGACGGTGGAGTCGGACCATACGTTAACATATACTTATATACTACAAAAAAGAATGATATCCCTAAAAATTTACCTTTTTAAAAAAAGTTAAAAAAAAGTGCCAAGTACACGCACCACTTGTAAGAAACTGTATTTATATATATTTATGAAATAGTGTTATTTTAAATTATTGGAAATAAAAACTTATAAAAATATTTTAACCAAAAAAAATTGTACAAATATATCCTACAAAAATAATGATATCAACAAATTGCGCCAATTGAAAATAAAAATTAAACAAATATTTTACCCGAAAACAATTGTACAAAATAACTGGATAACAAAAATTACGCCTCAATTCAAATTTTGGTAAAGGAAAAATCGTCTTAGAATTGTATCAGGAATACGTCATTTCACGGACGGAAGGTTGTTACGGAACACCCTGTATACAGGGTGGTCTACGTAAAGTGTTACAAACTATAATAACTCTAAAAGTAAAGTGTTACAAACTAATAACTCTAAAAATATTTGTCAAATCAAACAATTGTTCACGAGAAAGTTTCATGTTTTCGAGGGGCCTTTCTAACTACGTAAACATAAAATTGCCGCCGCTCCTACTCTAAAAGGGACAGGGGGTAACTTTAAAATTTTAAATGGAATCCCCCATTTTTTATTGCACATTCTTGTAGTTTATCTCGAGAGCTTTTCAAAACACTACAATAAAGTATTTTTTCATTAAGTACTTTTTGAGTTATTTTATATCTTAATCTGAGATATTTTAATATAAAAAATAAAGTATCTCGTAAAATATTTAGTTTTCGATAATCTTACCGTAATACTTTTAAGTACAGAATAATGAGACAAATCAATTAGTGTAATTGAAAAAACTAAATATTTTACGAGATATTTTATTTTTTATATCAAATTATGTCAGATTAAGATATAAAATAACTCAAAAAGTACTTAATCAAAAAATACTTCATTATAGTGTTTTAAAAAGCTCTCGAGATAAGTTACAAGAATGTGCAATAAAAATGGGGGTTTCCATTCAAAATTTTAAAGTTACACCCCGCCTCCTTTAAAGGGGGAGTAGGAGCAATTTTATGTTTACGTAGTTAGAAAGTCCTCTCGAAAACATGAAACTTTCTCATGAACAATTTTTTGATTTGACAAATATTTTTAGAGTTATTAGCTTGTAACACTTTACGTGGGCCACCCTGTATATATACAGGGTGTCTCACAACCTCCGTACAATACTTTAATAGTGTATTCTAGAGATAAAATAGAGTCAAAAATTCTAATACAAAAATTTTGAGGCTGCAATAGTTTTTGAGTTATAAGCGATCAAACTCTGCCAATGATATCGCGTAGAGCCCCGCGCTCAGATCTGTAACTACACATACACGCGTACTGATCTCTGTCATCTATTATTGATTTTACGAATCAGGTAATATCGATTTTTACTGCACAGCTGATTTTATTGTTTCTTATGTGCATAAATATTATGTACGGTGATCAGCTGATATTAATGAACTATAAATGTTGTACGTAAAATATTTAATTTTTTCTTAAATAATAATTTAAATAGTTGATTAATTATTATATTTAAATAAAAATATAAACTTAATATTTTCACACATTTAAGAAACAAAGTTTATTTTTGTTTTGATCGCGCGGAGAAGTCCCGTGGAAATCAATTTATTTATTTTATCTGTCAGCAATAACAGATGACAGATCAGTACGTGTGTAAATGTAGTTACGAGCCTGAGGGCGCAAATTCTACGCAATATTATTAGCAAACTTTGATCACTTATAACTCAAAAACTATTGTAGCCTTGGTATTTTTCTATTAAGATTTTTGACTCCATTTT